CGGCCCACGCGTCCGGGGCACAGACCAGGCGTGCAGCGGGCATCCCAAGATGTTGTTATTCTCGTCGAGGAATGGCTCGCCAGGTTGGACCACCGATTGCCGCGGGCCAGGGGCGTGCATGGAGGCGTGCGCTATGCTGGTTTGAGTGGTTGATAAAAGATTGGCAGGCCTGCTGAGCTAACCCGCACATGTGCAGCACGCACGCCCGTCATTTGTGCCCGCCTTTGACAGCATCCAAAAGGTGCCTGGGCGTGTCTTTTCGAGAAGAGGGCCGCTGACTATGCGTGGTAAGGCTGAAGGAGGGCGAGACAGCGGTGGCGAGGGGCAGAGGGTATGTAGGGAGGAGTGGTAGTAGTAGTTAGTAGGCAGGTAGTACATCCACTCGAGTGGCATGGGGGGGGTGGTTTTGGTGACTGGGCTGTTCACATGCAGAGCCGTGGGTGGTGTCCGGGACCGTCTCTTGTGGTTTGGTGGTACACTAGCCAACGACAGGAGAGCCAGGTGTCGCTATCGCTGCAGTGACGTACGGAGCCCGGGGGGACCTTCAGCTCGTCTGCATGTGTTGCTTGTGGGTGAGGGGAGGCAGGGCAGGCAGAGGCCGAAGTTCGGTCGGGGTCACGTGTCGTTCGCGCTAGCCACAGACAGCCACAGATGCAGCCGCCCTCCAATTCTGTCACCGCCCCTCGGCCTCGCTTCAACACGACGACAGCGAGCACACGGAGCCCAAAGGACGCCTGCGTCGTACACACAATAGCCGGCCACAAGCCGCTCCAAGCGGTGACTCTGCGATAACAGCCCTGCATATTGGGCGACGGACGAGCATGCTGCTGCCATGCGACTAGTATTGGCGAGTGAGTGCTGCTGCTGCTACTGCTACTGCTGTCACCATGTCAAGAGGGTATACTACAGACCATGACAGTCGGTCGGCAGTGTCTTTGTAAAAAGCACGCATTATCGCGTGTAGTTGATGGCTGGTAGCATTTGGCTGCCTCGATCGGTCAAAGATGGGGTGTCGAGGCTGGGGATTGGCGGGCGGGCATGACCGGCACTAGCACGTGTTACTCTCGACTCTACCAGTCCACGTAAGCGCCATAGCCATGACTTATCAGCAACCTCTTCCATGTAACATTGCTGTAAGCGACCGCTACCCGCCTATTCCCACAGTGCAACTATTGTACCCTCCCCTCCCCACGCCACCTCCGCGGCGCTATCGACTCATTCTCCATCATTCTGCTCCCCCCAAAAGCAACCTATTGCCCCCGTTGACCCGTGCTGGCCGCAACACTAGCATACACCTATACACACTACTTGTATACAGTCTACACCGATGCACCACCTACTCCTTCACAAACGTCGCTCTCATCTGTGCCGTGTCGTACGACTTGCACATATATTTGCACCAATCCACGTGGTCGTCGAGTAGACCACAGCCCTACCTGCCGCCTTCTGCTGCTTTCTGTCTGCTGCGACTGCGCTAGACTACTGGCTGAAAAGAGTAATTTTGCTTTGGGCAAACAAGACCGCTCTGGTGACGTACAAGCCTCCATCGAGCCGTCTGGACTCTGGCCCCGGCCATTCCCCTCGCCTGGAAAGCCCATCCGCCTCCAATCCCCTTGACCACATACGCATGTGCACTGCCAGCTAGCCGCATGTCGTAAAGATCATCGGCCGCTGCAGTACGTCTACACATATGCATACAGCAGCGAGACAATATGCATATGGCTATCTTATCTGATTTGCATTTCTCCCATCCACTGATTCGAGGTCCGTGCTACCTGCAAGCAAGCAAGCCTGCTCCAAGATATCTCCTACCCTGCGTACATAATCGGTCCTGCAAGACAACCACTCAACATGACTTGCCCCGCTGCTGACACAACTCTCCTGCTGCACCGTAAAGCACCAAGCCTACCCAGCCGGCTAAACAGTCAGCGACAGCAACAGACTTCCAGAAAGACCCTGTGTATGTACCACCAAATTTAAGCCACTCGTGGGGTTTGATTCTCCTGTTCTCCCGCGTCGTTGTGTACCCGCTCCGGAAACTATCGACACCACTAGTCCCAGCCCGTGAATTGTTAATGCAAGTATTCTGCATTTATCAACACAGCCGTCTCAATAACAAGCACTGAAGGATTCCCAGCACCTGACGCTTGACTGGTGAGAACGCCTGACGACCACGAGTCGGCCTGCATTCATTTTCTTCATTTCAACCCCCAGCCTATCCGTCCCGCCTTATAAATATCTTAGCACAGTCCCCAATCGTCATAGCGTCATGGGGCCGGCGCACCTCAGGGTCCAGTGCCAGGTCAACTCGGCGGACGCTAATACAGCCCTACAAGAGCACTGGGACATTGCTGCTTTTACTGACTGACGCTGGCTGCTTGCTTCCGATACTCCATGCTCCAGATCCATCGTACGACACCCACACACAAAAGCCCACACCATGCGCATGCCAAGCTTTTCCGTGGCATCTTGACGCGCGGGGAACTCATCGTTGAGAATGGGGGAGTGGGAGAAACAACCAGCCACCATCGGACATCCGTCGTGGTTGGATACTCGATGCACCTGTATTGGTAGACTACGCCTTGTGTATACACAAACGAATCTCCTATTGTAGATCATAGTCTACCCTAGTAGACGTCCTTCATTCCTTTCGCTTGAATGCTTCCCCCAACACTTGTTTCTTCTAGCTTCTTGGTAAGCTTCACACTCGCATCCCGCCTTTCGTTATTTCCGCCTCTAACAGCGATCCGTCCGTCACTTGTCCTTTCCTGCCAGCCAGCTGCCCTCTTTCCCCCCCCTAAAACAAAACCACACCGGAAAGTCACTCAAACATACACATTTGCCGATTATGCCCGACCACCGTACGCGTCAACGGGACGCCTGGAAATGCTTGCCTGCGGATTCCGCGTCTGTCCGCAAGCTCCAAAACGCATCTCGAGTCACAAATTCCCCAGGACATGCCCTTGTCGAAAAATACCTCACTATCGTCATAGCATCCAGTATACTATCATCTTACACAAAAACTACGTACGTACGTATATGTGTCTAAACCGCCCGTGCACCCTTCCCCCCCCAGACCCAAAAAATGAAAACCACCGCTCGGAACCGACCCGCAACCGAATCTTTACCACCAACCCCCCCATGTCAGCGACACACACAATGCAAGACTAAACCATATGCTCCCCCCTCGCGTAAGCAGTACCCGACCAAACCACCCAATCAAGCCCCTTTCCCTCTTTCTCTTCTCCAAAAGCCAGCCACACTTCCCAAAAACCCAAGACCAAAAAAGTCGACCCAAGCTGCAGCCCAGCCAAAGCCTGCCAGTTCCAGCACGGGTCCTTAGTTACATACATACATACATACATATCCTGACTGCAGCGATTGGGCGGTGGTGGTGGTGGTCGGTGCGTTTCCTTCCATGCATCCTTCTAGACGCACACGCACTTCTTCTTCGCCTTTCAGTGTCGTTGTTTGGACGAGAGAGACTGCGCGTGTGCATGTGTGAGAAAAGCCTTTGACGTGAGGATGCAGGGACGTGCGCATGGGTGTGTGGATTTTGAGCCTCAACTTCATGCGGCTTGACGTAGGGTTTGGGCGTGTCTTGGGAAGAGAGGGAAAAGCTTGGGTGCGCTTGTTGCTTACTTAGATTGCTTGCGTGTGTGTGTGTGTGTGTGTGCTTGCGTATGTAGGGGTTGGGGCGCGGGAGAGGTATGGCGACGTCACTGTGTGGATTGGGCAGTGGCTTGAGAGGGAGAGAGGCTTGATCAGCAATTGTTCACGTGGAGTGATGGGTTTGAACTTTGACTGTGCATCTTGGACTTCCTCTCTTTTTCGTCATTTTCCTCCTCCTCCTCCTCTACTCAACTACTCATACTCAACTACTCACTCTCGGCCGTCTTTCACAATCCCACCTCCGGTTATCCAAGTACATGTCGAGTGTAGTGTCAGAAACTAATAATCTAATAAACAAAAGAGAAACAGAAGCCTTTTGCCCACTTGAAGCAACTGCTAGGCCATACTTCAACAATTCATTCATTCATTCAATCCCACATCCAATACGCACTCTTCGACCTGAGCACTTGGGTCAAATAGGAAATGCACCAATAAGAGCATCCATGTTTGTCAAGACCATGTTTCAAACTCAATCATAACATTTTTATCGTCTATTTACTACAGAACCCTATCAATCCCCCTAATACCCGCCTCTCATCGCCAACATGCCCACTTTACCAAGGTTAACAATTCACATCTTCACTGGCATTAATGATAACAGTCATCACACTAAATACATAGACATCATCCTCGCACTGACATGAGCTTTGCAAACATTAACAAAGCATCATGGGCAGGAGACGAGGACGCAAAGGTGCAGGGATTAAATACTGCTTGGAAGTCCGTGTATAAGAGGAACCGTAGGGTACAGCATATGTCGCAATCGGTAATCGCAGGCCCTAAAGTAAGTAAATTGGCGCAAAGGGAAAGCAAACTAAAGGTAGGCCAAGGAAGGAAACCAAATCGTAAGGGCAGTTTCATAAGAGTCCAGGGTTCCAAAGGGGGCTCCGAGGGAGGTTCCGGAAGGGCAATGACTCCAAGGTTATGGGATTATCCGGGTGGGTATATGGCAAAGGGCTTTGGGAATGACCGGGTGGATGGTTTAGGCAAGGGTTGCTAGGTGACCAGGTGGAGGATGTCGCAAAGGCTGCGGGAGTGGCCGGATGGATATGGTATGTCGCAACGGCTACCGGGATAGGGAATGGTTGTCACAAGGCGGTCGAAGGTTGCTTGGAGGTTGCGCTGGAATCGACCGTAGCTGCAATGGGGCTTACCTTCACACTTCACCTCGACACCACGCATTGCCATGAGGCACCGACCAGATTGAACGTGGTAGTGTTGACAACTACTCGTGATTAGCATGCAAACTCCGCCAAACGCCTTCGCTTTTAGTTTTCCGAGACGCCGTATCGCTATGCAGAACAAGAAAAAAAATCAGAAGGTATACTCTATAGAGTCCAGAGACCACTCCGTCGTTTGCCCATTGGGTAGACGAGGAGGGCCGCCATGAACAAGCCGACAGTAATGCCAATGGCAATCTGGATCATGGAAGCTGCGACATTGAAGACGATAGCGTTCAAACTATCGGGACTCGACTAATTTGCGTTAGAAGTGACCATTTGAGATGTTATCAAGTGTCTTACATCAGCCGCTCCCGCTGCGCCTTTGATCAAGGCGGATGCAGTTTTCAGAGCAGAGTTGATACTCCCGCTTGATGCAAGAGATCCAGGCACCTGTACATAGACGGCGGGTAGGAGGACAGCAGCAGCAACTCCGTGGCGCAGTCGACTGTAGAGGTTGGCCAGAACACCGACGGTGAAGGCACCGAATGTGTATGCGATTGGAGCAGAGGACGAGAATTTCTTGCTGGCGTAGAAATTGACCAAGTAACCAGCAAATGCAATGATGATCATGGCGGGCATTTGCTTGTACTTTGCTTGTACGGTGAAGGTCGTGAAGAAGACATACAGAGGAACGAAGAGGAAGCTCCAGTATGGGTGTAGGGGTTCCTGGCATTGGGTCGCGTTGGTGGCATTGCTATCGATAGCACCGTAGATGGCTGTGCCGACGGTTATGCCATATCCCAGAAAGAGAGAGTAGATGATGGCAAAGACGAGTCGGATGGAGCCGGGCACAATGGCACGGGACTGGAGTTCGAGGGCAGAGCTCAGGACCAACCAGCCGGGAAGGATCAAGGCGATGGCGCTCTGTGCAATAGCTGAGAAACAGAAGAGGTTTCCATTGTCAATGCTGCCAAAAGCACGAGCAAGGAAGCTCATGAGAATGGTAGCCGAGATTTCGAAAACAGTGCTGTACGTCTTGGAGAGTGGAGCGATGACCAATTGGAGCACGCCCAAAACCATACCAAGGGCGAGGATAATAGGCATGTCAATGAAGCGTGCTGAGAAGAAGACGGAAACGGCCGCGCTGGCCAAGCCATACATGATGACGGTCAACCAGACGGGGTGGCGGTCTTTCGCGTTGATGACGGTATCGAGGCGGGCAAGAGCTTCGTCGAGACTGATGACATCATGCAGGACCTCTTTGTAAATCTCATGGGTGTCCTTGAGCTTACCCAGGTTGACGCCCTGGGCAGTGCGGACAATCTTGACTTCGGCGGTATGGGTAAGGTTGTCGTCAAAAGAAATGATCATACAACCAGGGATGTAGAGAAACTGGCTGTTAATCTCAAGAACCTTTGCTGTCATGGCAAGATACTCCTCGAGGCGATGAGTGGGTGCGCCAAAAAGCATGAGAGCACGACACATGCGAATGATGTATTGCTGTCGCTTGAGGATGTTGGCCACATGAATTTTGATCTTGGCGTCCTGGTCTTCTTTGGCCTTCCAGACTTTTGCAACAATGCCACCACTAGCCGTGCGCTTGTGCTGGCGTGGTCGCATAGGAGGGTCTTTCTTTTCATCTTTGGGGTTGGCCAACTTGGCCGAAGCACCAATCAGAGTGGCCAGTGTGTCGGTTGACTGGATGGGCTTGTTGGCATTGTACCATTTCCGTTTTGGCGTGTTGGCGCCAGAAGAAGAGACGGGATGGGGAGGGGTGGTGTTGCTGTGCTCGGAGGCGGCGTCGGGGAAGGCAGGTACGGGGTTCTTGTATGTCTGGAGGATCTGATAGAAGATGCCTCCATTGTTGTTGCCTGTGACGGCATAGCCACCGTCCGAGTCGGTGTCATTAAAAGCATGACCTTCTGAACTCTCAGCACGTGCGGTTTCAGCATGTGCAAGGCGGGCATTGTGGGCATTGAGCAGCTCTTCGGCATCGGCCGTGTGCTGGTCGACAGTGTTTTCTGCCAAATCGGACCCTTGAACGGGCTCATTGCTGGGAGAGAGCTGGGGAGAAATGGGGACTTCAACATTGGCCGAGCTGTTGAAGCGCACGCGTGTCCTGCCCGTTGCCTGCTCAGGCTGTACTGAGGGTGTTGGGTAGGTGGGGGCAAGGTGGTCGAGCTCGTGAGCATCGCCGTTTGTGCGATCAGATGAATGGGACGAAGTGGGCTCCATTGCGGGGGGGATGGGGCGCCCGGAAGGGGAGATGGCAATGAAGAGAGAGTGCTTTTGTGTGGACCGAATGGATGAGGGCAGATGTGGTTTGAGGGGGAGTCCAGCATATATCGGCGTGGTGCTGGGTGCTCAGGGCTTGGGCAGTGAGTCGTCGTCGGCGTTACCTCATGGGCCCAACTGCGTTTGCGGCCGTCGATGCGAACCCAAACGACCAGTGCGTCGCGGGCGCGACCTGGCGGTGGATCCAAAGAATGGATCAAGAGATGGTAGCGATGCTTGGGAGGCGCCGAAAGGAGAAGTGTGGGAGCAATCTCGAAGCCAAAGGCGGCGACGTCGGTCACGGGTGATGCAACGGGCCCGGCTAAAAGTGGAAATCTGTGTGTCATGGATTCGCTGATTGGCCACCGCCACCAGCAGACGGGCTAAAGTCAGCGACACCCGAAATGCTCTGTGAAAAAATCCATCTCACCACTACCCGCCGGCACACTCGCCCTCACCCCCGACTCGACGACGCGAGTCCCCGTGGGGCCTGCGACAGCGAACACTGGTCCAAATGGCCCCTCGATCCCTCCTTGGCTGCGCTGCCACCGTGTCAGCAGCAAATTAGAGCACGCTCTAGAAGCATCGCTGGATCCACACAGTCCCTGACTATGGCCTCTCTGCGACGTGCCTCCAAGGGGTATCTACTGTCTACTATACAGTAACATGTGTGTATGCGGTATATCTGCTATACAGAAAGGAGTATCGTAGACCGCCTCTTTTTGCAAACGCACTCGCCGTAACGGTCACGCGCACATGTGTTGCCTCGCACAGATATCACAGCTCTCTGGCTGGGCGAATTGAACTAGCATGCACCATCTGTACTGTCATATTAGCATATAGTGTATCACTCCGTGTGCCTAGGCAAAATTAGCATGTAGAATACGGACGAAACCTTCTTCTTAGCAATCACCTCAACATGACGAAATATCACACAATATCCTAAACCCATTCCATCCATTCCGAAGGCGAATCCCGCATGTTGCTGAAGATCTTTTCAGTTATCCGGAAATAGTACCTGACTGAACCAACAAACGAGATGCCAATGGGAGCGGAGCCCCTGCGTCCCAGCAGGGAAGGTTGTTCCGCTAGTATGCCCATGACGCACCTCATGGCGCGTCCCGGCACTCGAAACCGATCCCGAGCAGATCGCATCTTTAGCGAGAACCCCGTCAAGAGATCATAGCCTACGCAGATCTTCTGAATGACTGACCATGTGTGGGAACCGGGTACTTATCGATCCACCCTGCTTACTGGGTTGCTGTATCCGTCATCATCGCGTAGGCGTACTGGGTGTGTTTGAGAGCCTATATCCTCAAGCGGCCCTTCATCTCAGCCTCGCGTCATCCTCGTCTTGCATACCACTTGGTTCATATACACAAGCAACTTCCTCGTACAACTCGCCCCTGACCACCAACTGAATTCTTCCTTTTTCCTTAAATCCAGCTTTTGCATAAAGTCTCTCGGCCGCATCCACGGTGCTTTCCAAGTACACAGGCACCCGTTGTTTGTTGCATGTGTCGAGGCCCCAGTCAAGTAGCATTCTGCCCACGCCTTGGCGGCCATGGCTTGGTGATATGGCGATCCAGGATAGTTCTGTCGAGGCAGAAATTACCAAGAGTCAGTTAGAAACGAAACGTGACATGTATACTCACCGTAATGCCGACAATCTCCAATAGTATGCTCCGCGACTTTCGCAGCAGCAGCTCTCCATGCATTTAAAATCTCCCAATCTGTCCCCTCTGGTAGATTCCAACGCGGTGCTGTATATGTCTTTTTGACATTGCTGCTCCTTTCCTCCTCTTTGTCTTCCGGACAAGCGTGGCACCATACTGCAAACCCTACTATCTCTCCTCTACCATCCTTTTCCGTTTCTGCAGACTGTGCAACCATCACACTCGTCCTTTCATCGAGCATGTCGGCGATTAGCTTTTCTTCTACGGCGTGTTCAAATGCTGCCCAAATTGCTGGCGTAGGATAGATAGCGCGCATGAGCCGGTTGGAAGAGAAGGCTGATACATGAATACTAGCGAGACGTGGGGCAACAGAAGGAGTCGCGGGGTAGATGCGGATAGCCATTTTGAACTGCAGGATAGGGTTATGGAGGGAATAGCCGTTCCTTTATATGTGGTGCTTGGCCGCAATTATGGGCGATATAAGCGGATGTCTTGTGCTTGACTGTTGCATTCGTCGATAGCAGACGCTGTGGTGATGTTTGGTGGCTGTGCAACCATTCCCCACACGCACCGCCACGCTTTTCTCATATGTACACAGCCATCCTGCCTGACATACGAGGTAATTGAAACCGCCCCCAATACGCCCTGACAGCGCTGGCTATTTAGGATCTGAACGCCCGGCTTCCACGGGAACATGAATATTGTAGCTGCCTCTCCACACCATAAGCTATCCAGATGGCAAACATCTCACTTTATCAACCACTTAACCCAACCCGAGAAAAATTTCGATTTCTTCGCATACATCCCACCAACATCCCGGAAAGCATCATCTCGTGCCAGCTTTTCACTGCTAGTCTTGCCGAACAACCATTGTACAAGGCTCTATCATATGAATGGGGCCGAAAGGACATCACCAAATACATTATAGTCAATGGTATCAGAGTCCAGGTTACCCACAATCTCGAAGCTGCACTACGGCGCATCCGTAAGTCCGACTCAGAAGTTATTCTCTGGGTCGATGCAGTGTGCATCAACCAGCAAGATCTCGATGAAAGGAATTCACAGGTGGCCATGATGAGCAAACTGTATTCCAAGACCACACTGACTTACGCATGGCTGGGTGAAGATGACGATGGTAGCGCGCAACGTGTATTTTCCCTCATCTGCAGTTTCGTGGGTGATTTCACCAAGCGTGTTGAGGACATTGACCATTTCACCATCAAATTTGCCAAAGTTCAGTGCAACCAAATGTACTTTGGCCTCCAGGATTATATTGCCCAAAATCTTCGGGACGGTAAATCAACATTGGGCATGTCTGATGTCCAAGACATAGGACTGGTGTTTTCTAGATCATACTGGTATAGAACTTGGATTCAGCAAGAGCTCGTTCTTCCACCCAAAGTAACAATGATTTCCGGCTACATGTCTGTATCATTCAATATGATCATGGTTTTCCGAGACATCATCGATTGTATTCGATGCAAGAGCATTCGGTGGAAAGACAGTGCTGATGAGATCATTACCGCTTCGTGGGAACTTGCCTCACCCCCCCACGCTTGAACTACGGTTAGCCAATCTGGGGAATATCCTTGATGTGGTATCAAGCCTGGTGCGATGCGATGCTACGGATCCCGCGACAAAATCTATGGAATATTGGGTTTTTGTGAACGTCCTATACCTGTCACTGTCGACTATACCAAGCCAATAGCTCAAGTGTTCATTGAATTAGTTAAAAATGTCGCCAAACAAAGCGGACTCCTCATCCTTCGACAAGAGCCGGACAGTAGTATCGATCCCTTCGTCCCGAATCTGCCGTCCTGGACACCAAATTTCCGCCGAGATTGCATCGAATATACCCATCAAGACTGGATTGGTGTGCATGCCCATGGAGGATGGAAAGCAAGAATCTTCCCCACAACTTCTCTTCAGTTGCTACGGACCTCTGGGTGCGTAGTAGACACCGTTCAGTCAGTCTTCCAATTCTCGATTCCTCAACAGGTGACAGAAGTTTTATTCGATTTCATTGTATCCAACATCACCATGTCTCATCCAACGGGGGCTACCTTCCTTCAAGCAATTTGCTGTAATATCCTCGGATATCACTCCGTCGACGAATTTCAACACCGACTTTCAATATATGGCATCCGTACGTTCTTGCACTGGCTACTAGACTGTGGGAAGGAAAACCCCTTGTTGCATGGGCGATTCCTCACTTTTGTCGAACAGAACAATCTCACGGCCGTATTTGAAACTGTTACAGACGAAATCTCAATGAGCTTGCGATTCGCGGCAGTTACCGGAGCCATCGATCATCTGGTTGAGCCATACAAGGACGCTAAAGACCATAGCGCTTTCCTTGCAATGACCCCGCAACAACGTATGGCGCCTTTTTGGGGGTCTGAATCATACCCCGACGCTTTCCAAGCAGATATAGATTGGCAAATTCCTTCAGAACGCGTCAGCCTTGAGACTGTGAGGCGAAGAATCATGGATTGGGTGGACAGAAAAAGCTTAATAGTCACAGAGAAGGGCTATATGGGCTTTGCAACCCGTGGTGTTTTGGTAGGGGACGATGTTTGTATTGTCGCAGGATGTCCATATCCTACTATCATACGCCCGTCAGGTAGCCGTCATCAAGTCGTTGGCGGTGGCTTCATTTTCGGATTGATGGACGGTGAGTTATTCAGAGATGGGCACTTGACGGAGGACAGTCAGCAGACCTTTGATTTTGTTTGAACTATCCACTGCGCTACCTTTTTCTTGTGCTGAAACCTCTGCCGCATCCTGGGGCAGGATCAACTGTTCAACGATGGGCGCCTTCTCATCTAAGGATGTCCAGGAAACAACTCCACTCCCAATATGCTCAAGGCTAGCATATAATGAGACCTCTCGAGAATCAGAGTTGCCAGATTTCATGCCTTGCGAATACGTTTGCCAAACTATTGTGGCTCCGTTAGAGTATTGTCGGTTCCAACATCCGCATTGGACAAAAGAAACGAAAATCCTTCATCGGGCATTGTACGTTCCATAAATGCAGGATATTTTCGGTACCCTTCTCAAGAGACCAGTTGGATCGACTTGTGGAGGACTGTATGCTAGGTTGGAGCCATTTAACAACGGCCTTGCTAGCATTGGTATGGTATAATTCTTTAAAGGCATGAAGATCGTCGTCTGATCAGACGGGCGCAAACCTTTTTTCTGGGTGCATTGGATGCGTTTGACGCCTCATACCGAGATTTCCCACGTTGTTTGACAAAGGACAGGGCTGGTCGCGAGCATGGAACGTGGACATACCGCCGCGCATGATCATGGGTTGTTCCCGAAGAAATAAAACTTTATGCTTTGCCGTGACTTCCAAGGGTTTAACGAGCGATTCCAGGAGAGATTTTGTGCTGCCCTTGCTGCGAATATGAATTCCGAGGTCGAATATGCGATGATTGGTAGTATGGTCCCAACGGCTGCACAAGGCCCGTGCCCTCGGACTGAAGATCCTCGATCGCCATCGCATGCGGAGACTATTGCGCGACACCTTCAACATGCCATCCTGTCTCGAGCGATAGTTCTGTGTAATCAGCATGAAAGATTGGGGTAGTCTTTCATTGGAGAAATGAGTATGGGCGTCTGATCTGCTTCTCTTCGCTCTGTGGTATACTAGGCAGTTACAGCTTGCCATCATTCCATCGTGCCAGCATCACGACAACCTGGTCTCTGCTTCCTCGATCGCATCAGCTCCTCCGGCAACACATGCCGACCATCAAGAAAAAAAAATCCTGATTCGATTGTATCCCACTGCCTTACTTCGGATGAGGTCGCAACCGGCGCCGTGGCGTGCGCTGAAACCAGGCACTTTGCTACAACGGGTTTTGCAAACACGAACAGGGACCTGGGCGACCCTCAAGAACCTCCAAGAGCCAGAATCACTGACATCAATATCGGCCTCTGGCAGGGACGGTGGCTTGGGCCTGGGGTTCGAGGCTGTCAGGACATGCGGGCCGTTGCTCGTTCCGGAATGTTGAAACCTTATTCGCCTCACATCCCTAACGCGCATAGGCCTTATGGCATCGACCAACAGAGCCTCAACACTGCAATATTCCTGCATCTGGACTTGCTACGTATTCTCCGACAGTTCCTGTCAGGCCAAGACTGCCACCGCTGAAGTCGCGCTCTTGGTCTGTCCGCTGGTATCTAACGCCTCTGATTGGACCTCGTTGCCCAGCGCCTCATTCAGCACATGGGTTTTACCCTAGCATGTTCGTGCCAAGCACCATCACTTGCGGCTAGACGGCAAAATGGCAGCTGTACATGTTGGAGAAGAGTGGGGAGATTGCCTTTGGATTGCCCTGTCTGGTCGCCCTGGTGCCTCAAGGCATCATGGCTATGCAGAGAATGCGGCCAGGAGGCCGAGATCAAACACTTGCAAGTTTACACCGATTCCACGTAATGTTTTTGCTCCCAGATGGATGTTCCGATTCGGCCTTATTTCTTAGCAACAGCCCAAAGTACATATAACGCGAAAGGCCCGGCGCCTCATAGGTTTTGTCATCTCTTTCATCAACGCCGTCTTCAAGTCCCTTACCTTCTTTTCAACAGTGCCGAGCACTCATATTTTAATCATTGTTGAGCTGTGCTCTTCATTCCTTCATTTTACCATTGTAATACACAGACACTCGGTGATCCGCATCCAGTCCTTTCAGGAAAACAAAAAAAAGAACCCGACCATTCATAATGAAGACTATTTACCCACTACTCACTCTCCTTTCGGCTGCGGCCGTAGCTGCCGGTCCTCTTCCAAGGAACGTACAGCTACTCCCGAATGCAAACCTCAAGCCTACTCGTGTCGTCGCGCGCACGCAAATGCCTGCCGAGGCTGCACCAGCACCAGCCGCAGGAGTTGATCCTGGCAAAGCTTCCGCGGATGCTATGGAAGCAATGCATGCAGCTGAAGCGGAGGCCAAAGAAAAAGCTCATCAAGAGGCCGCTAAGCAGATGGAAGCCATGCATCAGGCAGAGGCAGAAGCAAAGGAGAAGGCCCACCAAGAGGCCGCTAAGCAGATGGAGGCTATGCACCAAGCAGAAGCCGAAGCAAAGGAAAAGGCACACCAGGAGGCTGCAGCAGCCATGGAATCCATGCACGTTGCATCTGAGAAAGCAAAGGACGCTGCCCATAAGGCATCGGCTGATGCTATGGAAGCTATGCACGTCTCGCGGGAAATGGCCAGCATCTCTATGGCCATGAAGACAGAGGCTCCAGCTGCCACCCCTCCACCTCCTCCACCACCTGCTGCTATGCCTCACGAGACTCCTGCCCCGGCCCCTACACATGTTATGCCCCCTCCTCCTGCTGCTGAGATGCCACCACCACCACCTCCTCCCGCCGAGATGCCACCTCCACCTCCTGCTCATACTATGGCGCCCCCTCCACCTCCTGCTGCGGAAATGCCTCCTCCACCCCCGGCTCATGAGATGCCAGCTCCATCTGCCCCCGCTGCTGCAGAGATGCCACCGCCACCTCCCGCTCATGTGATGCCATCACCTCCCCCTGCCCATACAATGGCACCTCCTCCACCTCCTGCCGCGGAGATGCCTCCTGCTGCTGAGATGACTCCTCCTGCCAAGATGCCTCATGCTCCCGCTGAAATGCCATCTTCACCTCCCGCTGCTGAGATGCCCCCAGCCGCCGGTGGCATGAACGGTAGCGAAGCTGCACCGCCTACATCGTCTGCTCCTCCTGCGGCTGAGGTCACCGAAAGCTTCTCTTTGATTATGGATCAGGCTGCACAGGCTACTGGTGCTGCCAACATGACTGCTTCCCCGGCCATGAGCACCCCTGCGGCGCCTGCTGAAACCGGTGCTGCCGAGGAAGAGAAGAAGAAGGCCGAAGAGGAGCAGAAGAAGGCAGCTGAGGAAGAGAAGAAGAAGGCTGAGGAAGAGAAGAAGGCCAAGGAAGAGGCTGACAAGGCTGCTCAGGAACAGGAGAAGAAGGCTGCAGAGGAACAGAAGAAGCAGGATGAGGCCGACAAGAAGGCCGCCGAAGAAGAGAAGAAGAAGCAGGAGGAGGCAGACAAGCAGGCTGCTGAGGAGGAAAAGAAGAAGCAAGAGGAGGCTACTCAAGCCGAGAAGCCCGCTGAGGACGCTGCGCAAGACAACAAGGGCGAGGCCTCAGCCTCAGCCCCTGCCGAAGCACCTGCTGAAGCGCCCGCCGAAGCGCCCGCCGCACAGGAACAGCAACAAGAAGCAGCCGGTGAGGCAACCATCAAGCTCCCAGCCGGCTTCCTTACTTCTCCACGCGTGCGTCGCGCCAATCTCGCTAACATGCCTGCTAAGCGCGGCATGAAGGCTGTCGCTTTCTAAGCGTTTGACCCCGTTTTTCTTTTGTGTGTACTTAGTATATGGGGTAAAGCGAGAGGTTGGTTGATGATGAAGAGAAGTAGTTGTGCGCGTGTGATTATAGCACAGGACTGTTTAATGTTGTCTGCAGTGCTAGTTAGACGGGAAAGCGCGTTTAGAGAATTATTAGTGTAGCGTAGTTACTTGACCGAGTACAATCATCCTGACTCGAGTTTCCTTTTTTTTCGAATAACAAAACTTATTCTCATACCACTCTGTTCAAGATGCAAATGCCGTTTGCGTGAAGAAAAGATGATACCTGAAGGTGTCTTAAACTGAATTATACAAGTCTAGTATACATGTGCGGCGCTCTTGTGATTAACTAATTCACACTTGTCCTTGTATCCACAGGTACATTGGATACGAAAACGGATAAAATAGCAGCGTAAGCTGCTGCCACGGCCATCATCTCGAAGCTGGTCACTTTGAGGAAAAGCGACACGAGAAATGATAGCCCGAGTATCCACGCTGCGATAATCGCCAACTGAACGTTTTTAGATGACTCGTGCGATAGAATAACCAAAGGAGCAATGAGGAATATGGCTGTAAATGCTGCGGTGAATAGACGCCCGGTGATTTCGGCTATGAGAAGAGTATCTGGGTACAACCATTGGCGGCGGCGGCGGTGGTGCAAGCGGCGCCAAATCCAGGTCGAGCCTAGGTCTTCAGGGTTGTTCTGGTCCCTCCTCTTTAGTTTTCTGAATCTAAAGAAGCGTAGGTACTTGTAGAGCCAGCGCTGGAACGGATCAACCCGCTCTCGCGTTCCGAGATCTACTCGTAGCAGCCTCGTTTTGTATTTCTCTCCCAGACTGAGGTCGCTACGTAAACTGGAGAGTAGATCGTCGTCGAGAAGAGAGTTGATTTCCATCGTCATAATTTTGTTGAAGGCTGCTAGGGCTTCGTCTTTTTGGATCCGGGATTTCGTGTTAGTGGGGGTTGATGTGTAGTTCAGAGGCTGTGTACGTACCGTATTCCTTCAAAAGACCGCGGAGCTTTAAAATGAATTCTGGAGTGATCAATTCATCGATATTGGGAACTTTGTCATCTCTCCTGTTGTTCTTGAGACCAAGCCGATCGAATGAGGAGATAGGCAAGTTGAGGCTGAGGCCGGCTTGGTACAAAACGTGGTCCATTTGGGTAATCTCATCTTCTAGGAAACGTAAATTTAGTAGATGCGTGGTTTTAAATCGACGGAAGCTGTGCAATGTGATGTTTTTGTCGGCCGTGCTGGCTATCCATGCCTTCTCAAACTTGTCTTGGGTTCTGCTTTTTGGACCTAGGGGCGCGTTGTGGACGGGTAATTCGTCCATGTTGGAGTAATGGTGAGTGCGAACAGGTGGAAACTACATGGAGGAAAATTATCTAGATATCTCAAATGCCTAGGAAGCAGGTCCCTGATCCTTCATGCATGCTAGTCCCAAGCATAAACACTTCTTTGGTCATGATTCGCGATAGAAGCGCCTTGAGTAACCAACGAGCAGAATATCGTGTGGCGCAGCGATGTGGGGCATGGTCCTGTGTTGAGAGGGCTGAAATAGGTCGATCAGGCAGAATCAATGCGACGAGGCTGAAGCGCCATTGCCTTGCGGCACACACTCATCCTCGCTGAAACAGCATGTCTATTCAATGTCTTACTGTCTTGCTTTTAACCACAGTCATAATTTCGAGAGCTTTCAACCCCAGTCGCACTTTCGGGAATGCCATCCAGCAATATGCACACCAGTTGTGCAGATTATCACGTCGCTTGGATGTGTCCTGGAGCCGACCTCGAACTCTTGCCTGCGAGGCTGATGCTTGATGAAGAGCACCCAACACCGCCTTACGATACCTACTACGACGAAAATACTTACGTATGCGGCACTATCAATGGTCACGCAGTTGTTGTTGGGACTTGTCCACCGGGAGGGACAGGTAATGTCAACGCTGGGCGCTTAACGGGGCCCATGTTCAAGACATTTCCTAACATTCGCATGGCGGTGCTTGTGGGAGTTGGAGGCGGTATCCCCCGCGAACAAGTACCTGACGATGCTCTGGATAATATTCACCTTGGAGATGTCGTTGTGGGATGGCCTGGTGACGACGGACCTGCGTGTGTATACCACAAGCGAGGGAAAGCCAAAGTTGACGGAATATTTCACATGGTGGGCACACTGCAAAACCCAGACTGGAGACTTACCCAAGCACTTCGTGTCCTTGCTAGCGACCATGAAATGGGAAAAAACTTCTTTCGATGTCCAACTTCGGAAGTTGCGGCGCACGAAGCGAGCGAAGAGATTTGCCCATCCAGGCCTCGAGCATGACAAACCCTTCAAGGCTGAATATCGTCATGTCGGCAGCCACGGATCTGGATGCAAGGACTGTGATGTAAGCAAACTGGTTCAACGCCCACAACGAACTAGAGAGCACCTATAAACGCTAGTCTCTCATCAAGGTAGGATTGCTACCGGCAACACAGTTATCCAGGACCCCGAGCTACGTGACAAGATTAGAGCGCGATGCAATGGGGCCCTGTGTGTAGAGATAGAAGCAGCAGGCGTTGACGCGAGTAGACGATGCCTTGTTGTCCGTGGCATCTCCAATTACGCAGATTCGCACAAAAACGACTTGTGGAGATCGCATGCAGCTGGTAATGCGGCTGCGTTCACAAGGGAGCTGTTATGCAGAATTCAACCGGTCGCAGTCAAAGACATGAAAGGATATCCTGAAGGTCATTTGCAGGTCTATTTAAGGCAATGAATCACATAGGATTATGGAAATATAACTTTGAATTATCAATAACACGTGTGTGTACCAGGCTGACACATTACAGCGCTATGGTTTGTTCCACTACCCAGACCTCGGTCCTTCGTCAGTCGGGGGAAACAGCTTGTCCTAATAGATACCCACATAGCCCCGGAAGGCTGTTGTCGATATGCTGTTTACGGCCTAGGTGGTTGCGGGAAGACAGCTCTCGCTCTTGAGACAGCTTTTCGAACACGGGAGCAGCAACCTCAGCGTGCCGTGTTCTGGGTACCTGCGATCAGCCAAGCAGGTTTTGAACAGGCATATCGAGAGATAGGACTACTCCTTCGCATAACTGGCATCACAGATGCTAAGGCCGATGTCAAGACACTTGTCAAGGCATGGCTGAGCGACGAAAGTTATGGGCAGTGGCTGATGATTATTGACAATGCGGACTATGAGAGAATACTATTCGACCCAATTAAATGAGGGAGCAACGGGGATCGGCTGATCGACTATCTTCCATACAGCCCAAAAGGCTCTCTCATCTTTACAACCCGAGTCGTAGAGGCCGCACACGACCTAGCTGCAAACAACGTCATAGAGCTGGGCATACTCGACAGGGAAGATGCTAAGGAGGTCTTGAGAACACGCTTGTTCAAAAAGTACCAACGCATTGTTAAAGATGAGGTAATGGTTGACGAATTTCTCAATATGCTCACTTGCCTTGCCCTTGCAATCGTCCAGGCGGCAGCATTCATCAACCAGAACAACATCCAGCTCTGCGACTGCATACAGATGTATCGAGCGAGCGAGCAACAGGAGACTCAGCTTCCCATTGAAGAGTTACAAGACCAAGAAAGGTATCTAGAAATGAAAAATCCCATCGCAACAACTTGGTATATCTCATTCAACCAAATCACGCCACGCGACAAACTAGCAGCCGACTACCTGTCATTCATGGCATGTACAACGAATAACGATATACCAGAGTCAATGCTACCGGCCGAAAGGTTACAGGTAGAACGAACGAACGAACACGATTGGGACATTGAAAGCATACGCTCTCATAACTGAACGAAAGTTTATACGTGACGAGTGCGAATTTCAGCAAGAGCAGACACAAAGGCCGAAGGGATCATTCGATGTCCACCCACTAGTGCACTTAGCAATGTAAAGCTGGTTGAAATCACAGAGCCAGTGGCTCGAATGGGTGGAAAAGACGATTGTAAGATTGGAAAAGATTGTGCCACGCAGCGATTCCAAGACAAGGGAAGTCTGGACAACATATCTGCCTCATGCCAAATACGTCATGGCTATGTCTGAAACCTCAGAGCAGAATTTGGGGTGGAGCCTGCTTGAGCGAATAGGAAAATGCGAAATGATTCTGGGACAATACAGAGCGGCGGAGGAAACGTATCGTCAGCTTGTGTTGAGAGCAGCTAAGGCGCTTGGCCAGGAGCATCCACTTATCGCAAGTTATAAGAATGAGTTAGGGATAGCACTATCTGAGCAGACCCGATACAGAGAAGCAGAAACGATGTTTAGAGAGGCGATAGTACTACGTGAAAAGACTATTTGCCGAGAGGATAAGAAGATAAGATTTATCAGAAATAACTTAGCAATTGCACTAAGACGCCAGGGCCATTTGGAAGAGGCAGAGCAGATATATCGACTGATGATAGCAATGAATGAAGAAACCCTGGGCAAGAATCACACAAGAGATCTAAACAATATGAGCAACCTAGCGGCAGTGCTGAGTGATCAAGACAAAAAGGAAGAGGTGGAGCAGATATTCTAAGAAACACTAGCGCTAATAAAGAAAGTCTCGGGCAGTGAGCACCTATACACTATAGACATCATGAATAGGTTAGCAAGAGTGCTACGGCAATTAGACACGTATGAAGAGGCGGAAAAAATGTCGCGAAAGTCACTAGAACTAGCAGAGAAAGTCTTTGGCAAGGAGCACCCACGTACTTTGGCTAGAATGGGTAGCTTAGCAGTGGTGTTAGGAGATATGTGCAAATACGACGAGGCGGAACGAATATACGTAGAAACGCTCGGGCTAGCGGTAAGGGTATGGGGCAAAGAGCACTCGAAAACGCGGAACTGCTTGGAAAATTTTGTTGCAATGCTACAAAAGCTAGGTAGATACGAAGAGGCTGCATCTGTACTGGATAATATGGCTTAGCTATTTGTTCATGAACACACCATGCAATATCAAGGCAACTTTTACTCACACTTACAAGATCAACCACCTAAATAGTTGGGATGTTGTCCGCGTCCGCTGCTTGGGGACGACTGTTGCCGGCGCTGTACTGGCGCTTGGTCGGAATATTGTTCACGTCCGCTGCTTGGGGACGGCTGTTGCCAGCGCTGTATTGCCGTTTTGTAGGAATGTTGTCCACATCCGCTGCTTGAGGGCGACTGTTGCCGGCACTGTACTGACGTTTGATGGGGATGTTGGAATCCACAGCTTCAGTTCTACTAGTCAATGGCTGAGTGGGCATGGCCGCTGAAAAAGCCAAAAGACTCGTGAAAGTGAAGAGGGTAGAGAAACGCATTGTGGATTACACTCAAGTTTTGATTGTACAAAGTGGTGTGTAGAGATTTCTTTCGTTACGGGACGTCTTTATAACTAAATTCTTGCAATTTAACTGCCGCTTCTCTTAATGCGGTTGTCGTGAGAGCGTATAGGTGAACTGCCGAGAACTCAATTCGATCTACGTTGGAAATCACACCACAGTTTCATCACCGCTATCATCATCGTCAAATTTCTTACCGTGTATCTCTCCGTTGCGGACATCCTTGCATGCTAGAACTAACTAATCAGCTTGCAAGTTCGGGACAGGAGTCTGTGATTTGAATAAGCTAATTGGTCGGTTCTCGCACCGAGGGATGTCCGTGACGAAGGGATACAAGCTAGCATAAGCATGCTGCTATTATAACTACCGAAGGTGTTATGAGGAGTTTCCTACGACCCTGTAACAGAACACGTTAATATCCTATCACTATCTCGTATATGCTCATCTTTCCCAAAGAAGCTGCACAGGTGATAAGCTTACCCTACTAGCGTATCCTTGGCACTACTAAAAAGCCGCTATAATCAAATAAACTTCGCGTTCTCTTTGATGCATAATGCAGTATCACCTCAACCTTATAGTTCATTTGAGAAGCCACAGCTTACAGAGCTTAAGTTATTTCTCATAGTACAATGGTTCAAAAACAATTCACATTAGATTTACGTAGTAATCAAACAAATGAAATTTGTTTTCTCGTTACTGATCTTTCGTGATCCGGGGACTACTACTGCATCGGCCCTACTAGCTATCTCCTGCCGATTAGAGTGCCAAGTACACCAAATGTGTGTTACAAACCCTGGTATAGACTGTAGATCGGTTGACCAAGATGTTCCCCTTGTTTGTAGGGTGTACACGCCACGTCAGCTGATACGAGGTATCCGCATTTGAAGCCGTATCTATCCCTAACTGAGCTATAGTATACTATTGGCATCATCATATCAAGTCTCATCACGAGAAGGTTAGCTGTCGTTCCTACTACGGTTGAACTCGATGCTGTTCAATCTTGACTTCCTAATCTCTACAAACCATATTCACGTTGTACAGTCTTTGTTGTACAGGAAGTCATACACAACCTTCCACCAAACATCCATTGTTAATCAAGACTATGTCAACTATTTCCGATGGTTTGCCAGACATCGCAGAGCAAGACGAGAAATTTGCCCTCTTATACCAAGAAGAGGTATCAAGAAAGTCGTCTTGCTTTAAAAAGCAAACATGGCTGGTAGCCGTATGCGCGATTATCCTCACAAATCTACTTTCAATTGTTTTTACCGCAAGATATATAAGATCCCAGAGTTACCTATCATACTCCTTGGACCTGCCTAGAAGTATGTGTTTTTATGTTTCTCAAATTTACGAAGGCTAACTCTTTTAAGTGGAAGGACTTTATCCTGAACTTGACAGATCCCACATCCTAACTCAGTTCAGCGAGCATAGGGTCAATGGGACAAGTAGATGGTCAGCTCCACCAAGCCCCTCAGTAGATAGAGCTTGGCTAGAACTAGGAGTTCGCGATGTTGGATTTCTCGTTCCAAAGACAGTCGGTATCAGCCATGGTCTTGATCCTAGAGAGCAAAAATATTACCCAAAAGGAACATATCGCAGCGATTCTGAACTAGAAGGATTCATCGTGTTTGTTCAAGCCTTTCACGACCTACATTGTTTGGTACGTTTAGTACTACCTTTACGCTATCAAAGCATTGCTAAGGTGCGATAGGATGAGCTCCGAAAAGCCCTCTACTTCAACAAACCCTACTACCGCCAATACGAAGATGATAATCTCGTGCCGGAGTGGTTCCGCGTAAGCCATATTAGTACGTGATTCAAAGTTCAACAAACTAGACGCTGTGATAGAACAGTGCTAACTTATCCCATCAGATCATTGTCTAGACAATATTCGTGAGACCTTGATGTGTGCAGCTGATATAGGGGTAATACCAACCGTATGGACGGGATCGCATAATAGCTCCATTAGATTCTCTAACAAGCATCAATGCAATAGTTACGATTCATTGCTAGAGTGGAAAGCGAAGTGGGATGCAGATCATCCTGCTTTCGCAAAGGAGTTGCCGGAGCAGTTTCAAGCACCTCCAGATGCAGTTTTTCATGACCCTAGCGAATGGGTGGTCTAAGTTATAGCATCAAGGTAGTTCAATAATCTACTTTTCATGAACGTCAAACGTCAAGTGAACACAACTCATGCACACACGTACAAGATCAGCAAAAAATCCATTTTGAAGAAAAAAACATGCAATTTCGCTAAGAATGCTACGTAATGCAATCTAGGATAGCGACCATCAACCACCTGACCAAACGCCTCTAAACCTAACCCAAAAGAGACCCGAATCGCTCAACGCCGTATGATGAAGCAAAACAAACAAGATGACATACTGGCCGCATCATGAGGCAAAATGAAATCGTACATATCATTCGTGAAAAGAGGCATCAAAGTACCATGAGATATAGCAAAAAGGGGCTAGCATAAAATAAAAAGGAAAGACAAGAGCAGAGAATTGAAGATGCATGTATATTAAACCAAAAGCTATTTAGGCAAAGGAAAGAAAAAGAAGAAAGGAAAAGAAGATGTCGCGAGACTAATAATTTGGGTGATATCAAATAAGAACGTGGGGCAGAAAAGGTATCAAAGAACAAAGACCAAGAAAGAAAAAAAAGAAGCGAATGGAAGATAAAACTTCAGAGTAATACAGCGTGATCATTTGGTCCTTTGAATTGGGGGTAAAAAGAAGAAGAGGAGTTGGAGGAAGGCATGAAGAGGAGGGGGTAAAAAACGATCCTAACAGCAATTTTCAAACTTTTGGTCCTCGCGAACCGACCCGTGTCTTCTCGTGTTCGCGCATGTAAAAATCAATAGACTGATCAAAGGAAATGGAGTGAGAAAGGTAGTCTGACAAATCATTTGACGCTTTCCTACCACCATCATTGTCATCGTTGTCGGAGTCCTCGGTTGCGGAGAAATAATCGTTGACAAGGGGATCGCGGTGTGATTTTCCAGCTCGTGTGCGGGATTGTGTTGTGTCTTTTGCTGAGCCAGTGTTGGATGTAATCTTCTTCGTCTTCGTCTCTGTTTTCGCCTTTGCACCCTTGCTTGTACATGTGACATCGCTGGATACAACCTCCATGGAGTCGACTGGCTTGGAGATACTTTGATGGGAATCTAGTGCGGCGATGCTGGGCGGACGGATCGTAGTATCCGACGTCTTTTCCCCCAAAGCCTTGTTCTCAACATCAGCGACGCGGACTATGTTTTTGGGTCCAACGCTTGGTATCGACTGCCGAGGCACAGACGTTACAACTTGCTTCTCTTCTTTGTGGGGCGATGCTGGGGTGGTGAAAATGGATATCGCCTGAGGTTTGATCTCCGATTCAGTACCACGGACACCTTCACCGAACAGGGTGCCATCCTTCTCGTCCCAGAGCCTCTCATCGATTCGTGCTTCCTCGTCCGATGAAAACTGCAAGTCTTTGATACTCCCATCAAGGCTATGCCGTATCCGTTCGCTCTCATACGACACCCGCTCTGGTTCCCCGAACCCCGAATCTTGATGCAAAGGCATGCGATATCCTTGTGACGCCGGAAGACTTGTTCGCACTCGTCTTGATAGGGGTTCTGGTCGATCGAATATCGAGAATCCCGTGCTGGTCCGCGATGGAGGTTCCGTGCTGGGTGCCGAGGAATCCATGGCAACATCGTACTCGAGGCCGGCCAGGGTGGTAGAGTCGGGCTTTTGCGGTTGTTGGCTGTCATAATAGTAATCTGGAGTTTCAGCAGGTTCTGGGGGTGTGTGTGATGGCTGCGGCCATGATTGTGCAAGATGGTGCACCCGCTCACTAAATGAGGCATCATTGCCGCTACCGTGAGATTGTCCTTTTTCAGACGATCCCTGCAGGCTGTTTCTCATCGACTGCGACTCAATAGGCTGGAGTCCACTTCCCATCGATAAGCCCAGTGGGGTTTCTTCGGAAGTCTTACTGCCTATGAATGAATCCTCCATCTCGCCTGGTGGACTCGCAAAGCGGATGTCTTTCGGCTCCTGCGTTGCAAACTCATGCACGTCAAGGTCGCCACAAGCTCTTTGAACAAGCTTAGTATCGCCATCCACGTAGACTTGCTCCCATCTTGTTTCCCTGCTAGCCGGTAGGCTTGCAAGCTCGTTTTCGAGCTCTGAGTCATCTAACGACATGACAGATCGATGGCCAGGATAGGGCGAGCGTGAGCAGTCACTTCGCCTATTTCTGTCGCTGATACTGAGAGGATGTGGGGAACGACCGCGCTGAGAGCGTTCGTTGGGTATGATGTAGGAGCCGGAAGATTCGGGGTACTCTGTGCGGGGGACATGGACCTCTTCGAAGAATGACTGTTGCCTCGACTGGCGACGATGGTTGGAAATATCCTCCAGGTCTACAGCTGTCCTAGGATCGATGTATTCCTTGTCGCTCCTATGCGTGGAGATGCTGTCTCTCACGGTAGCCCTTGGCTTGAAGTCGACTTCTAGGGTATTTTCGGGGAACCGCTTAAGCAGGTTTGCAGCTGACGGTCTGGACTGGGGTGACTCGCTCAAGCATGCTCGAATGATGTCACGGAAGTAAGGTGGGATGTCAGTATCGCGTCGATCCAGTGTGCGGGTCAACGGTCGCTGCTGGCGCTCAGGTTCATCTTGCTGTTCTGCTAATGCCCAAAGCACCATACCAAGCTGAAACAGATCAGACTTGACACCAATGTATATCGATATACGCTGTCCACTCTCTATGAGCTTGGCAAGTTCCGGTGGCTCCCATCCAACTGGGCAGCCGCGGCGGTTGATATCGATGATTTTGGCGTTGTCATCATTATCAATGACAATGTTGGACAGGGTGAAATCTCCTTGTACGAAGCCAGCTTCATGAATCTCTGAAAGACCCTGAATGATCTGCCGTGCCCATCGCTCCCGGCGCTCCCAGTAAAGATGACTTGTCGTCTTGAAGTCGTAAATCATATCGACCAGTGCACCTTGTTCAGCATAGCTAATCAGGAGTCCCTTGATGAGCTCGTTTCGTTGATCGACAATAACGCCTTCGAACTTGATGACAGACTTGGAGTTTTGTACGCTCACAAGCGCATTGATCTCGTAAAGGAATTCTTCGACCGCGTCTGGCCCAGGAATTTCCTTCTTGATCAGTGTCCGGTTGTCAACCGAGACTTTGTAGACAAAGCCAGAAATGTGGGAGTCAAAAGCAATCGCGTCTTCACGAAATCGCTTGCAATCCAGATGCACAATCGCCGAAACAGCCGGATACGGAATGATTTCGTTCACATCCTCTGTGACGTGAACATGGAGGCGACCATCTGTTGTTTCCAATTTCAGGTTTGTCACAGTGTCGTAGAACTGTATAGCTGGCAGAGAATCGCGGATGGCCTCATAAATACGCGAACTCTTGTCACGCTGGTAGTGGAGAGACTTGAGATCTGCCTCAAGTGAGTCTGGCTCCATGTTGCGGTAGTCGCAGGACACTGTGACCCTTCTCCATCTGTTTGGCTCCTCGGCAAATGTTACAAAGAACTTTTCGCGGTCTGACATGTCCCGGAAGTGCATGCTCAGGTTCAAAATCCATTTTGCTTCCAACTCTTCCTGCAACCGGATATCATCAATGACGGACCCTGAGTGATGTGAGCTATGCTCGGAAAAGGTGTCCACTACTTCAACAGGTGGTGGTGGCGGTAGTGATGCGGGAGGTGGAGGTGGAGATTGTGACGGTTGCGGAGGGGGAGGGGGAGGAGGCAGCATCAGTTCCCCAACAGAAGCGCCTGCAGACATGTAGTCTTCGGGTTCCTCGACGCCATAGTCGACCTGACGTGCACCGGGTGGGAGATTCGAATCCGGACCTCCACCTATAGTACGCTCTTCCATGACGGGGTGCGGCTCTTCCTTCACATGACTTTCACACAAACTCAGGACGTTAGGCGCTGACATGGAAGGGGCGGAAAGGGGAGGTGGCGAAATGTCCCGTTTTGAGGGAGCTGAGCTCTGGCGGTCGACCGAGGCAGCTCTCCTGTGTTCGCCCGGAACGGGGACCTCGAGCAGTTTATCCCTCTTTTCACTCTGCATCCGCTTGAACGTCAAGGGTCTAGGCAGCCCTGGAATAACCTTCTTGCTGCCTCTGCGTCCCAGCAAACCAGCACTCGAATGCGGTCGTGTGGGCTCCTTGTTCTTCTCTTCGGCGGGCTTCGGGGCTTTGGTCGACGATGGCGGCGGTTCCTGCTCCTCCTTCTTCAGCCAGGCGCCAATCTTTTGAAAGCTCAGGTGATCCCACATGCTCCTGTGCTTGCTGACTTCTGCGCGCGCCCTCTGCCTACTGCGGCTGCTGCTCGTCTCGCCATTGTCCGCTGATGGCAATGGCATCTTCTTCTCACAACGGCTCTCGCACACGTCCCACGCTGTGCAGCGCCGTGTGGGTGGTGTGTCGGCTCGTTGCCAGCCGTCTGATGGTCGGGTGGTTGCCTTCGCGGTGTGTCGAGGACCAAGTGACTCAGACAGGCGGTGGCAGGCCTTCTATTCGCGCGGCGAGGAAATTGGCAGGTCGGATCGGATGGATTAAAATTGTGCTATGGGTTTGGCGCCAGCTGCATGCTGTGTCGCGATCATGTGCCACTGTGGCTTCCTGCGTCCACCAACCTAGTTCCTGCTCTGTGCCTCGATGCTGCGATGGCGCATTTGCCCCTCTCTACCCTAGACTTTTTTCTTTTCCTTTGTTTGTTTCTTTGTTTTTTTCTTCCCTTGGTGCTAATCTCTGCAATTCAATCTCGGCAGTCCCAACGTGCAAATGACAGACAGGAAAGACCGATAGGTGTTTTATTGCCGCCCAAGCGACATGCCAGGGAGCGGGTTGGCGCCTAACCTTAATCAAAGGCAGGCGGACGACGGACGGAAGCTCCAGCGACGGGCGAGGGTCAATGGGGCTGTCGAGGGCAGGCGGACAGGCAGTCGTCGATCGTCGAAGGGGGCTGGGGAAGGGCGGGAAAGGGGAGGGCAGGCAGCGATGAATGCGACGTGCTCGATGAGTCTGATGTGAGTTGGGATGAGTGCGCGACAGAAGGCTGGGCTGGTGGCAGCCAATGAATGCGGACTGAGGGCGCGACTTTCTCCGTCGAGCCGGCTTAGCAACACCACCACGTTAGCGTATCCCGACCGACTCAGCAAATCAAATACCCCAGGGCCAATCTATTGGCACCTCGCACAAGCCTGCAGTACCGGTACCAATGTAATCAGAGTTACACCAAGGTGGGGGACAGGCTGAAGGGGGCGAAGGGGGGGCGAGGGAAAAAAAGTGAGGGCGGATTTCAGCAGCAAAAGTGCGCAGCAGCATAGCACCGTTTTGGGGGTTGCTGTCATTGTCGTTAGACAGCTGGCGGTCAAGCGCCTGTTCCGGCCATTGGGCCACAGCAAAAAAAAAGAGGGCCTTTTTCAGCCTGCAGGATGCGCAGCACGCAGGCAGACAGGCAGCCAGCAAAAGTCCGAATTCGGGTACATTTTGGTCAAATCAAGCGCTGGTGAGGCAAAGAAAAGCCGCCTGGTACCGCCGACTCGGTGCCTGATTGGCCTCTGTCGTGCGTGTGGCAGCCAACTACACCAACCTGCGGTGAGAGTGACACACGGTTTGGCTTTTTGGCATCAACGTCACTCACGCCCTGACTCTCCGGCACCTCTCTCTGGATGCATATGACAAGCCGGCTGCTACCAGAATCTGCGTTGAAGAGCCTTCACGGGTCACTACCCCTCTGGCGCCATCCCGCCCCCTCATTAATCCTTCACATTGGCATAGCAGCAAAAAACCCCTCTTTCGGGCCTGCATACATTAGCCCAAGCAGAGACGAGGGCGAGACTACTGCACCTCGAGGTCTTCGCGGAATCGTCCCTCGATGCTGACTGGAAACTCTGCATGCAACTGCCCTTGCTCCCCACCCAACAGGACGCAGAGCCAACCGTTTTCGCTGCCTCTCGAGTCAACCGGACATGGAAAGACGGGACAACTCGCCAAAGGTGCCTAGATAGCTCCGTTCTTGCGAGCAAACTTCTCAACGGCAGTTTCAGGATGCTTGCGCAAAAGCAGGTACAGGGATGTGTTAATCTCACTTTTTTTCCTTCCTTCTAGTAAGTATTACAGCTTTCCACCGGCGTCTCCTGCTGCATTGGTTCCTCAGCAGTCTTATCGGTGTCTAATATACCTATATATATACACACACAGTATATGTACGTGTATTCACATGCAATAAATATGCCACGCTGCGCCCCAACAAAAAAATTATGCAATTTCTCTCTTCATAGCTCACCTCTGAACAAGATGACGACAACCTTGTTCATAGTACATCATCACTACAAGCACAAATCTCCGCCGCCTATGACAACGTCCCTCTACCTCGTATCGACCAAAGACCAAAGATCGAGAGATTGCCAACCTTGATTCGTGCCCTCTAGTTCGCAGAGTATGCGTTGTCTCTTCCCATCACTCTCCCTCGTGCAATCTGCCCGGCTGCCAGCTTACCTGCCGTGTGTCCGCATCATCCCTCCTGACACGTCAATATGGTTCATGCCCACGCAACACATTACACTTGCAGCATGCAGGGCCACGCCACGCCACGCCACGCCACGCCACGCCACGCCACGGTATGCCACGCAGTCTCATAACAAGAGAGCAAAGGAAGCCGTGCGAACCAACGCACAAATCCAAAACAGATAGACATCCGATGTGGCTTGTGCGGTGATGGACAGTACAAGAATAAATCAAACCAATGGTAGGTCTATAGAGGGCCAACGTGTAGTTGCATGTGGGATAAGATGTTACAAGTATGCACTATGCGGCGGCTGGCGCGCAATATCGTATATAAAATCTTTTGTTGGAAAATTCAAACCGCTTCATCTTCGTTCCACCAAGACTAGATTCGCGAGGTTGACAAACAGCGATATTGCCTGTCGCAGCATTGTGCGAAAAAAAAGGTACGCCTTGTACATTTACGGAAACGTACCGGGTAACGGACCGACCCGCCTTCTCTTCTTCTTCCCTCGCCCGTGTTTCTAGCAAAATCATAGCAAAACGTCATCCATTCTCTTTTGCATAAAAGAAAGACAACACAACGATTGGAGCCCACTTGGCATTGATGTAGAGAAGAGAATTTCATTCATCGCTTCATTACCCAAGTTGCAGTCGATTTCGTAGCCGCCCCGTATTCTTCATAGCCCAATGCTTTGCTAAACAGCATCATTAAAAACGCCTAGAATGCGCTTGCGTTGCTACAACCCCATATCTTTCGTATTCACTGTACATATCTTACATCTAGGAGTCTAGCTTAGTCGTCGTCATCGCCAGACTCTTCCTCCTCCTCCTCTTTCCTCTTTTGCTCACGCTTCTTACGGTCACCCTTCTTGGACTTTAGTTCCTTCTCCCACATCTTGTTGGCGGCTTCCTTGTCGAGATCGGGGAACACAATGTCAAACACTTCCCGGTACCATGACACGGGGCGGCCCTCGATGCCTTCTTTAATGTTCTGTTCGCAAGTCAGCCAATCACGCTCTCCTAATGTAGATAAAACATGACACGTACCTCCGGTAGTTCCAGCCAATCACTCATATTGTCGTGTGGGAAAATCACTGTTTTTGCACCTGCCCTTCGTGCTGCAACAGTCTTTTCGCGTAGTCCACCAATTCTCAGCACTTTTCCAGTAAGAGTAAGCTCGCCAGTCATAGCAACATCGTCTCTAATCTTTTTGTTGAGCGCTAAGCTGAGCAAGCTGGTGGCCATTGTGATACCAGCGCTTGGCCCATCTTTGGGCGTACCGCCCTCGGGGCAATGCAAGTGTATCCTAGCATGCTCGAAGAATCTGTTCTTTGGGAAATCGCGAGCCATGATGCTCTTTGCGAATGAGTAGGCAACCCCAGTCGACTCCTTCATAACATCTCGGAGGGATCCACTGCGCTCGAGACCAGGTGATGACGAAGCGGATAGCGCATTTTGCAGGATGGATTCAATGTAGAGCGCAGAGCCACCCATGGAGGTCCATGCTAGACCCATGGCTACACCAGGTGGCGTAAAGTCGTATAGGCGGTCAGAGGTAAAAATTGGTGGGCCGACGTAGTCCTTGAGATTGTCCTTGGTGATTGAGACATGTACTGAATCTGGTACCTTGAGAGCCACGCGGGGCTTTTCGGTAGTCTGCTCCTCGATGTTCTTTGGGGTCTCCTTGGGGTCGTTCTCGTTCTTGTTTGATTCCTGTTGCGCAGCCTTGCCCTCTTCAGTCAAAGCTGCGGCTTCTGGAAGGGCCTCCTCGCCCACATCAGTGACAATCTTCAAGGCAGACTTCCGGTAGACCTTTTCGATATGCTTCTTGAGATTTCGCACACCCGACTCACGGCAGTATTTGTTGATGAGCTCGACAATTGCGTCTTTCTCAAGCACAACGTCGGCATCCTTCAAACCACTCATTTCCTTGGCCGCAGGAGACAAGTACTTCTCAGCGATTGCAATCTTCTCGTCGGAAACATAGCCCGAAAGCCGTATTACCTCCATACGGTCAAGCAGTGGTTGCGGGATGGTCTCGTCCATATTGGCTGTACACACAAAAAGGACTTTGGATAGATCGACAGGCACGTCCAGGTAATGGTCTAGGAAGCTGTTGTTTTGCTCTGGGTCAAGTAGCTCGAGAAGGGCAGATGCTGGGTCACCATGGTTACTGTTCCGGCCAATCTTGTCGACTTCATCAATTAAGACGAGTGGGTTTTCAGTTTGGCATTTCTTGAGAGCCTGAATGATACGTCCAGGTAGTGCACCAACATATGTTCTGCGGTGGCCTTTGATTTCTGCCACATCGTACATACCACCGACACTGAAGCGGTAGTACTGGCGGTTCAAAGCACGAGCAATTGACTTTCCGATAGATGTTTTGCCCACACCTGGCGGTCCAACCAAACAAAGGATCTTACCTTCAACAGTGCCACGCAGTTTTCCGACAGCGATGAACTCCAAGATGCGGTCCTTTACGTCTTTTAGACCATGGTGGTCTTCATCCAAGACTTCGCGTGCATGTTGAATACCAAAGTTTTCGGCGCTACGTAAACCCCAAGGAAGCTGTGTGAGCCAGTCAAGGTAGTTGCGGGTTACATTAAACTCTGATCCGTTGGGCTCGAGGCCTTGCAGCTTGCTCATCTCCTCCTCGAAGACCTTGCGCACGGCTTCGGGCATAGCCAGCTTGTTGGCCTTTTCGTTGAACTTCTCAATCAGTTTGTCTTTGCCGTCAGACTCAATGCCGAGCTCACGTTTGATGCCTTTCATTTGCTCCATCAGCATGTATTCGCGATGCTTCTTCGTAACTCGGGCGTTGACATCGTCTGCGACCTTCTTTTGCAGTTCCGCGCTGATGAGTTCCTTCTTCAGAAGCTCCAGCGCTTTGCTCAGCCGCTTTTCAATGTCCATCTCCTCGAGCGCGTCTTGCAGCTCGTGTGACTCGGCTTGTGCTACAGCAGCTGCAAAATCGGCCAGCTTGACGGGGTCCTCGCCAACATTCATGGTAGTATGTACAGAGAAGGTCGAGACATGGTCTCGGAACAGTGGGTTTAAGAGTGCGACACCCTTGAAAGTGTTGACAATCTCGTTGACCAGCACCTGGATTGTCTTGTTTGACCTTAGGTCGAAAGGCTCCTCAACCATGTTGTCCACGTCGGCGATGCTGACCTTGCGGCCCTTGAGAATGGTGGGGACCAGGGCGCCTTGGGCCGTCTTGGTCTCTTCGGTGGACTCCTCGAAGCTGGCAACGACATCGCCCTTGGATTGGGTCGCAGCTGAATCCGCCTCTGGTGTTTCGGAGCTTTCGTCCAAAGTACTCTCGGCTACTGATGGCTCCTCCTTGGCTTGTGCTGGCGGCTTCAGACCCGTCATCTTTATGCGGCGGTGCGGGTAGAGGACGCAAGTCATGGCGAAGTTATCATCGGCACCCACAGGGAATGCGCTTGTAACCTGGCAGAATGTGCCCACATCGTAGACCTCGTTAGGGTCGTCGATAACGTCCTTGTCAGCGCCCTCATCCTTGAACATGAAGGCTCCAATGTACGGTTGCCCCCGCTTCACCATGTCGGCGATTGCCTGGCCGACCTCTCTGTCTCTGATTGTGATGGCCTTGTAGAAGCCAGGGAACAAGGGGCGCTTAACGAGTGGTATCGCCATAACCTGCGGGTAGACGTCTGGTATCGTGGGTTTGACGAGGGCGCGTTCGGAGCCCTTTCGTTTCTTGCCGCCGCCATCACCGCCGTCGCTGCCTCCAGTGCCTCCGCCTGCTGCGCTGCCTCGCCCGGAACCGGTGCGCGGGGGTATTGGCTCTGGCGTGTCACTCTTGCCCTCGACCTCTCGGTTTCTCTGCTGCTCCTTGAGCTTCTTCAGTTCATCTGTCTCTTCGGCTGCGCCCTCGTCCAGTGGCTCAGGTGGTATCTTGGGGTCTTTTTCCTTTTGCTTGCTCAGCGATGTGGAAAAGCTGCGGTATGCGAAGAGGGCGGCGGGTGGCGAGGGGCATCGGTGGAGCGGCCGCGCAACCAGCGATGCTGTGCATTGGGCGGGGAGATATCGTGACGATGATCTGGTGGTGAGTTTTGTACAATTCGAGCGCGATGCCTGGCGGAGGGCTGCCCGCCACGGCAGGTTCTGGGTCTGGAGCATGATGTGTCTGTTTTATGAGTGCGGCCAGGCGGCGGAAAGTCTTATGTGTGTATACAAAGAATGAGAGTAGTGTGCGTGGAAACACGCAGCACACGTGTTCTCGCCACGTGAATTGATGCGAGGAGAGGAATAATTAAACAATGTGCAAATATAAAAGGCGATGTGGTAGTGGCGGCATATGTATCGTCTATGTACGCATCAATTGATCAGCAACGTCGGAATCTCGACATCATCACCGCACGTCCAAGCTCCTCCTCCGATAGCCGCGATGGCAAAACCTCGGCACCACGCGACACTTGGATTCCATTAACTCGCACCTGCTCTACTACCCATCTTTCCATGTACATTGTTAATACCACATACAACTGCATAGGCATCCATACATCTCTCCGCACATCTCACCTCATTCAGCGCCTCTCTGTACTATACTCTGTTATCCTCGATCGTCGTGTCCGCACCCCCGTCGCGATGACAAAGTCTATTTCCAATGCTGTAGAACATTCTCGAATGCCGCCCGCCTCTGCAAACAACAGCTGTGCAAACTTCCACAGTCTCTCAAACCCACATACTAGTACATGTATTCACTCAATCCCATTGTGCGCATGTTCCGGGTACTTTGAACTCCATTCTTAAATATATCATGAAATCTATGCTCCTTTACAGCTCTGTCTGGCTTCTATCCAATGGCAATGGCCTCCATCTTACCCACCAAACTCAGACATGCCACCGGAGCTAGATTCGCAACCATTTGTCCTATCCAAGAATTTGACCATATGACCTACCTCTCCCAGGATGCTGAAGCCGTCCCAGATGGTTTCCATAGCCTCTATATGTCCAGCTCACACGACTCAAGCTTTCAGACTGATGCCATTTACCACCACTAGACAATAGTGGTGCATTCCTTTCCTCTTTCCCTATTCCATTGCTTTCTATCCACAAAATCAATTTCTTTCTAGTCCCGGGCTCAATAGTTTGCGAGCCTGCGCATTGCACTATGCAGCGTCAGGTGTTACAGCGCGAATTGTCGCAACCTTCTGTTCGGCCGTCTTCTGCAGGGGCTTGCGCCGAGGAACCCGTACTTCGCGATTGTTAATCTTGTTCCAGATATCTGAAGCGATTGGTTCTTCAGCGGCATAATCAACATCTACTGGGTTCACTGGGTTGACATTGCGCATTGTGCCTGCTCCAAGTGCACCGTGCATCCGCTGATCTTGGGCATGCTTGACAGTATTATGTCTTCCACGGTTATTCTCGTCTACCACCTCGGCCGTCAGGAATACTCGCTCCGATGGGGCGATTAGGCCTTCTCCAACCTGGTGTTCAATATCTACGCGAGGTGCTATTGGATTTGCTATTGGCGTCATGTTCACCTGTACAGCGTGAAGATGCTCATATGACCGACTGCTGGGATGTACACTTTTCGAATGCCCAATTTCCCGGAGTTCGAAACTTTCGCTTTTGGCTTGTTCGTTTTCTTTAGTATGTTGCATGCGTTCCTCGTCATAGCCCGGGAAGAACTGCCGCCTGTACTGATGGTAGCCAAAGTAGGTTACTAGCCCTGCTATCACAAACGTCATGAGGACGAGTACCATTATGAGGGCCCATGCATCCATGGTCGAAGAAGGGAAGCTGGTAGTTGGATCCAAGACTGGAAATGCTTTTGGGTTGATGTCTGTTGCTATGTGGGGGAAGCATCGAGCACAGGAAAAATATTTCCTTCTTATAGTAAGCCCAGAGAAGAGAAGAAGTTTCATGATTTTTAGTGTGGCGACTATGGCCAGCTCTCCCCTTCACAATGTACTAGTAACAATGCTGTTGTCTCGATCACATTCCGGTAGTTCACAAGAGCAAGAAGTTGTGTGAATCTGTGCAGGCACCTTCAGACACGTCGTCCATAGTAGAACTTTCTCTACTTTGTGAGAGGGATATGCTGTCGCATTGTGCCAGCTTCAACAGTCATCACAAGTATGAGCTGATCAATTCACACCTTTTGGACTCAGAGGATGATTTGTTCGTGACGATCAGCCACCTTCCGTAGGAAACTCTGTTTATATCCAAGGTATTAGTTATGTATTTAAAGTGATTAGTGGCTAAGGGCTGTGGGATATTCAGCCAGTCCACAAGCAACACCAAAGAGCCTATGTATCAATCTGATGCTTGTTGGGTGGTTTGTAATATGCTTTGGCGCTATTATAGTCCTGGACCCGGTCTAGTATGCAAGAGCACATATTTCTTCGTATGCACAAGATTGATTTTGGCATCAAAGAGAAACATATGAAATCATAAAATCATCTCGAATACCTAGATGCACCTATTGTTTATATCCGAAAGTCATGAATCAAACTACCTCATTTCCTTTAGAGTATAGGGCTATTGTATTATTTTGACGGGGTCATGTTGATACAGACACTAGCCACTTTGTGACCTTTAAGCAAGCTTTTGCAATGGTATTCGCGAGGTCTCTTGCGTTGATGTCTAAACAACAGCAATACGTTTTCCAGCTTCAACTTCCGTTACCAACACTCCTATCCCCTGCCGTATTCGTATATAGTCGTAGCAACACCATCATCAATCGTTATGCATCCAGTTCCCTGTGCTGGAACACATCCCTTTAGTGGAATGTAGCTGTCCTGTCATATGAATCATCCATGTATCACGGACGTTCATTACTGCATACACATAGAGCTGATCCGAGCGGCAGAATGGCGATCGCTCGCTGACCAAGGCAAATGGGTAGCAGTAGAAGGTTCCGCCGTCTTGTTTGAAGTTGTTTTCGTGTGAAAGGTCGGCAGCGCATGGATGCGTTATTACTTTAATACTGGGTGGAACCGCAGGCATGTCGTGGTACTATTCAGTAGGATGCGGGTCGGATTCACTCTGCGCCGAGATCTGGTAGTAGAGGAGTAATGGGAGAACTGCGTGGAAAGTGGACCAAATTATCTTGGCTTTTCTAAGGTATTGTCATGATGCCAACTAGAAGAGTCGACCAGAAATGAACCTTTTGTATTAATAAGAGTGTACTTACTACAAATATGGCCGCCTTCTTAGCATGAGGTTATTGGAAAGTAACGTTCGTTACTATGTGCCGAAAAGCTCTATATGCCGAAAATAGCCAATCGGATGGCAACGAATGGACTATGATTATTGACATATTATAAGAGAACACACAAAAGCTGGTAACTTTATTCTTCCCTACATCACAATCAATTCTTCCTATATCTCCTACTTGATTCACCACTACCTAAGCTAAACCTTTCTCCACAAAAACACATGCTTTTTCTTGCAACCCTACGCCTTTCGTACCTCAACTTCTATTCAGAGAAAGAATGAGATGTCCACTATGTCACTGATAGGCTTACATGTAAGCTTGCGTGATCGCCTTTGCAAACCTTCGCCTCTCACCATCGATCTGGCGAATAAGACGCTAGATATACCTTGGAAAAAAGACACGATTGTTTCTTTTGTTTCCAAGTCACAGCATTGATTCTCTTTTATCTGGATACAGACATCCTGACCATATACTCGGAGTATAGAAGGTAGAGACTTGGAGACTTTAACATCTAATATGCTCAAACGATTAGACGAAGAAATAGTACAAAATTGAAATTAAGTATTGATTGGATATGTTATAACTATTTCTAATGAAGCTTAAATATATTCAATCATCCTATATGTATTCTACTTATATAGCGTTATTCCAAATAGACTATACCGCATCAAGGTGTACTATATTAACTTACCAATAACATCATATGCAGCGTACTTTGCTTTCCTAATCCTTAGACTAAAGGGAGTACGATACCTTGTAGCAACATATTAGAGCCATTAAAGCGTCTCTGACTGAAACTGATGCAATAATAGAGCGATACCAGGCTGAGCGAATTGGAGCTGCTAGGCAAGCAGCCAACAGGAGCCGAAACGACGAACACGGTCAACCCCATGTAGCGCAGACATTCAAAGCGGAAGTGGCATATTCAATCTTTCGGTTCACATCTCCTGGACTGCTATTCTTTTAGCCAGTTTTAGATTCGGGGCTACGGCTAGACGATGATGAGCAGCAAAAGGAGGCAGATAAAGAACGCAAGAACCTTGCTAGTACCAGTGACTGCGAGACACAAGAAGACCCAAACCACCAACTCTATGATAGTCACCGCCATAATACTCGTGAATATTAGAGTGCCAGCGATATAATATATACCCCAAGCCATTTGAACAGGTCAGTCTTCATCCGCTCCCTGAATAGCAGAAACCACCTTGCCTTTGTTACATTCTACGGTAATCGTTGTATTCTTCGCAACTGCTGGTCGACTCTCGTGTACTTGGAGTGGAACCAAATGAACGTCGTCAGGTCGAACTCCAATGTGAGCTCCTCTTTCTTGATCCAGCCTCTTGATCCGTGCTTGTCTCCGTCCCGCAAAGGCTCTGTGGATTGATGCTGGAAGTAGAGCGACGACATACCAGGCGGTGATGAAGAAAGGAACAACGCAACCGAGCGCAGATCTTTTGCTGTATATTTCGTTGAATACCAACGCTGCATAGCAGGCCAAGAGGCACACAGCAAGTGTGACTACCATAAAGCGTATGGTTGACCTTCTCATATCCCACGCGTATTCTGCCAAGCCATTACTTTCTTCGTTTCTCTGATGAGTCGATAGAAGGGCTCCTTTTTCGGCCGGTAGTGGTACAAGACCCAAAGCCAGGACTAGAATGTCACACAGCCATGGCAGAGGCTTGGTGACGTGTACAATACGGCGCTCTGGCCATGCAACGTCCTTTAAAGCCAACGGTATGAGCCCCATGACCAATGCAGTGGCTGCAAACTGTTGCTTCCGGCTTTCACCACAGGACTCGAAGAGACAATCTGCTGCGGTCCAGCAACTTTGTACGTCATTTTTGAACTTATCAAACTTCCAGTACGGTTTGAATGGCGAATAGGCCATGATAAATTCAACATTGTCGGGGCATTGGCCGGTCCCAATTCGGTCGCTTCCCGTTTCGCCGGCGGCTGCTGTTACAGTGACTTGAAAGAAGAGGATGAAGAACAACGTTCGCACCGTCCTCGTCATAATGCGGTATCTTGTACAGAAAGAAATTTAGTAAATACGATAAACCGTGGAGGTAGGAAACGAGTGACATTCAAGTCAGTTTCAGCCTGACGGCTGCATGGCTATTTACATGTATTAATGCCAAGCATGATCCAATACTGTGTGCATATCTAAGCCTCATGTTTCACTCCATGCTGATTGGCAGATACCATGTGATATGACATGCAACACGAGCGCGATTCATTCCCCTCAGCGCATAGACTGAAAGAGGTTAAGCTGCAGATGGAGTGTGGGGGCGAATTTACAAGGCTGAACAAAAGGCAGTTTGCTCTATCGATAGATGCGGCATGATGAAGTGTGCGATCTGTGGGTCCTTAAATGAAATGGACTATCCATGTTTTGCACTTGAGTGATCCAACTCTGGTACCTGCGCCTCTATTATAGCCAACATCAACAAGGCGTATCCATCACAGTGTGAACATCTCATCTTGGCCTAGCCCTGGGTCAAAAATCGCATTCAGGAGCACGCCTCAGGACTCAGCCACCGGTTGATACAAACAATACATGCTTTTTCACTGACTTTGTTACTCATATATATAGCAGCAGCATTCTTTGCGCTTTCGTGCATTGAGCGGATGTCTAACGTCGGAGAAGCTGCAAAAACAACATTTGATGAGATTAAATGGACACTAGCAGCATTTTGCAAAAATGCAACAAAGACATACAACCTGGACATAACACAAGGAGATATACCGCGAATTCTGGAGAGCTTGTAGCGGTACCAACGAATTGTAGTTGGTTTGATATGTTTATATACGAGTTTTCAATCAATCGTGATACGCAAATTTCCTTTTACCAATCCGAATCTCTTCATTGGCGTATCGAAAAGACTCGACACTCGCCTTGAAGAGAGTGATGCGATCACAAAATTGACGCTCTACTACTACATCGATGAATTTTGTCCCAGTCGAATTAATCCTTGGTTCTTCAATGGCGGGGTCATCATTGCAAAGGATTACCTAAGGGCGGCGTTAGCGGCCACCGGCCACAAGATGGAACAAAGCCAAGCACAAATGGCCTCACTTGACGTAGATAATCGAAGCAATGTTGCCAATGCTTATTGCCTACTCCAGACCTAGGGCCTCTGTGTCCATGGTCGCGACGCATGTGGATGTGTGCGGGATTTGTATCTTCTTTCAGCCCTTGCACAATGCTTTGGATCATGGCGAGGCAGTGTAGCTGGTGGAAAATGCTGATATCGTATTGATCCAGCTCGCCATTTGCAGATGGAAGAATCAAAAACCCACCATTTTAGGGGATTGGATCGTCCCAGAGCGGATCGCAGATGTGTGCCAGGCGCTCATATTCTTCATACTTACTAAAGGTTATGCTTGATTCAGCAGGGCAGTTGAATATGAACGGACGGAGGTTTGATGATGCTGGCAACGGAATGCATTGGGGAGTTTTGATGCGGAGATACGCGAATGTATACGATATTGAGTCTTAATTCGAGAGTGATATGTTAAAGGAAGGATTAGAATAAGAGAGAGGATACTAAGAATGCGGAAGTACACAGGTGTCTTCAGCACTTTGGCAAAAGGTATATGTTGCATTCAATCACGATCAGCAGAATTAGCACCGCTAGGAAATTCTCGCTTTGTATTTTCGCAATGCTGACAGCGAATAATGTGACGATTTCCCACTTTTCAGAGGAAAGAGAGTGGGAGGATGAGCTGTAACTCTTGCAAAGGTTTCGATGCCGATGAATTATACGTTGATATTGTACTTGAAGATTTACGCTGAAATGAAGGTTTGATATGTGGGTTATTAGTAAAGAAGGAAGATCAAAGGGCCCTGAGTAACACCCAGTCAGCTGTACTTGTCGTCACCAGAACCCAATTTGGGATCAGTTTCGACCGTATTTTCTGGGTTCCTGCCGGGCTTCAAGAGGTCCTCCTTGCTGATGCCTCAGGAGTATACCTCGGAAAGTAGGTGCCACGACTCGTTCGTCTTTGATGAAGGAGGGCCGCGAAGTAATTTCATGGGCACATCAAAATTGTTCCGTTTACGATTTTCGTAATAAAATGCGGGTCAAAATACTAACGTACTGGTTCTAAGGAAGAATCGGGTAAACATGTCCGTCTGACCAATTTCGATTCTTGGTTTAAACACCTACCGAAGTGATCGTTACTATCCGTGCTCCAGTATTTTAAAGATACTCTTGGAAAAAGACAACACTAGCAACTATGGAAGCAAATGAGAACAGGAAAAGCAGCAAATTGATTCTCATGCGCTATTTGAGCTTCTCAAACTGAACATTTCCAAGGCTAGGGTTTTGAAGAACGTCAGCATCGTCATCCATCGGAGTCTGCTGCACCAAAATAAACACGTAGCTGTATCTCATGACACGATTTTCTCACCTTTGCGACGATATGCTCGGTTTCGGATCCTTTGAGAGGTTAATATGATTGCATTGTACGTATCTTGAAAGATTTACGGCTGGGTTCGCTTTAAAAGAACCGAAATTCGTTTCCCGAGTTCTTAACCGATGGCCAGATATTATGCAGGAGATTGGTTGCAATAAAAAGCGAGAGTAGTATGAAATTCAAAACAGAGTGACTGTATATCGACGAAACGCAACATAGCCCAACCCCTCAAATCAAGGTGTCTCTCCTAACAAGAATTTTACCTAGATCAACATCGTTAAAACTAGAGAATTGTCCAAGTGAGGACATGAAGCTGCGTATTGACTGTCCGCAAGCGAGGTGTTGCTGATCACGGGCCTAACCGCATTGCAAAGATCTTGCAGGCTATCTTGGGGAATGCGGAACCACGTAAAGCTACGACCATATTAGCTAGCAATAGATGCACATACTGGTAAAGGCTCGGTTCAGCTAGGCCATCTGTGATATATGCTTACAAAGAACACTAGTTAGTCTACAAAACTAAATGGATATCAACGCCTACAACTGGAGAAAGTTGCGCTATAACTGAGACGTGATCGGGAAAAAAGATCAGATAATCATGTGGTCTTGAGCATTTGTAACATAACAGGTGGCAATACATGCGTTCGCAACTAAATCGAAAGCGCAGCTCGGAACTCAGTCCGGAAATACCGGCCAAGGATCGAGCATGGGGTTCTATCGTGCACCCAGCCTCTTTGTAATGAAATATAAGTACTAGTTATAAAATTCGCCAACATTGCACAAAATCCCACAGCTCAGAGTATCACAGCATTATAGCATTATTAAGCACTCCGTGACTTGAAGAAGTCTAAACCTTAACGATACGACGTAAACATGAACTTTTTCGCTACTATCGCTCCTCTTGTTGCCATCGCCATTGATGCTCCCGCTGCCGAGCCTGAGGCCGCCTAGGCTCTCGTTGGTAAGTACTAGGTAGATTAGCGGCATTTTTGAGTTAAAAGCTAATAAATCGAAGCTGAGAAGTTCGTTGACGAGTACTTCTTGAATTTATAGAGGTCGTCAACTAAGGGGTTGCAAGCCTTCATTAGAAAGCCCTAGGCCGCTTTGCAAACCAGCGTAGCCTCGTCAATATTTTGACGCAACAATACGTTATCCTAAGAAACCAAAAAATAAATAAAGCACAAACTTCTGGTATGAAGAGTACTAAAAGAGATATAGTGACGCGATGAATACTGCCAAAAGAAAGCATTGGGACGATATAGATAGGAAGAAGCGCTACACCCTAAGATAAAAGCACATGTATGCTATTTAGAAGCGAATTAGCTGCGGCATGATTGGAAATCAGCCCGACTAAGTTGCCTGATCAGGAAATAACCAGGGGCTCCGAAGAATGCGCCTTTTATTAGGAAGCGAGCGGCTTCCAGCTGAGCAGAGATGGGCGTTGAGAGCCCGCGATTTCGGTCAGCCACACATGGTCATTAGGGCCAACTCCGGGAACTCCGATTCGTTACCAAATTGTCCAGGATTGTGAAGGTTTCCGTGCAACATGCAAGATTCGATAGATTTTCGGAACTTGGGACAAGCATAAATCCAATGGCGTTTCCCGGAAGGCAAAGGATAGGTGAATCCCACGCTCGAAATGGACGAATTGGAAGCGTCGGAAGTATTCTACTCATAGATGCGAATGCGAGTATGCTCAAGAATAAAGTTTGGACGGGCTTCAAAGACCAAACCTACCCCCTCTTCGCGCGAGCAAACAAACAAATCTGAAACTCTTAGTCTTTTAAAGATGGATGCAACCATTTATATCGTTATCAGTGGTGATGTTTTGACTCACGCCGGCGAGAACTGCCGTTTGGATCTGTGATAATCACCAACTTTGGCACACCACAACAAAAGCTTGCCGGTATGGCACCCGCGCGCGATGAAAAGTTCCTACCAGAGGTTTGGAGTCTTTACTCAGTTGGTGCATTATGGCTTCTTATTAGGTTCGCAGTGCGCCTTCGTACTGTTGGAGTAACGGGGCTGCAACTTGATGATGGCTTCGCGTTCATTGCACTGTTCGCCTGGACCTACACGTGCGCCGTAACAGAAATAATGTATCACACTGGAACGAATGCCGACTACTCTGCAGCTGAGATAGCTCTATTCGACGATGACAAGTTTGCAGAAGTAGAGTTTTCAAGCAAACTCTTCCTAGGCTCTTGGTACGCCTAGTAAGTATAATACTATCGCATTACTGTAAAGATATTAACCAAGAATAAGCATCGTTCTGATCTTTAGTCTCAAAGGTGTCGTCGTAATGCTCTACCGGCGAATCTTCCTGGAGCTCTGGCAAGTGTACATGCTACGGTTCACTATATGTCTATGCTTGTCAGGATTCACGGCCACCACACTGGCTTTGAGCCTCTCATGCCTGCCATACCACCAAAGATGGCAGTTAGTTCCACATCCACCTCTGGTATGCACCGCGTCACCGAAAATACTCATTCTTGCAAGCTGTCTTAACGCTACGACAGATGTTTTTGTAGGTCCATTGATCACCGCCAATCAGTACCCATACTAACACATCTAAGTTGCTTAGTATACCGGTTC